CCCCCCCCCCACCTTAGAATCCCCCCCCCCCCCTTTTTTTTTTTTTTTTTTTTTTTTAAAGGATATATTTTGTAAAACAGAGAAAGCCCAAACAGACGCTCCTTTTTCCCAGAAGGTTTTTCACTCCAGATGCACTTTATTTTCTAATGGGTTTGGCTTGGACCTCCTATTTATTTCAGTGGATGGATGAATCATGTGGGTGCCCAGAGGGGCATCTGGGCTGGCAACAGCAGAGAGAGAAGGAGGAGGAGTCCCTCTCCTCTCGGTCTGCCTGGTTTGTTAAGGAGCTGAGCATCTGGAGCCCTGGAAGGTAAATGCAGCCCTCGGGAGGTTGGTGGCTGGGCCCTTTCCCCAGCACTGCTCCCCTGGCTGGCTTGCTGATGGGGGCAGGGATGGGGTCCAGCTCTCAGGGCACCAGGCTCCCCTGAGCAGGAGCCAACGCATCGCATCCCCCGTGAGCCTTCAACATGGGACTCCAGTGAGGTGTATGGGTGAACCGTGCCTCCTGGGCCAGACCATGGCTGGTGCAAGCCAGCTGGTGTCATTTCCACTTCCCCATGCTGCACTACTTATGGGGCAAGGAGGAGGTGGCTTCAGGAGTGCTGGGGATGGGTCCATCCAGATAGGTCAAGGGTCAGCAATGCCAGAAGAAACTCTGGCTGTCACAGGCCCGACTCCTTCCCCAGGGATCTGAGCTGTGCAGTAGCTGGGCCAAGGATTTCAGGTGTGGCCCTTTGGGACACCGGTTTGTGTCGGTGCCACTGGAAACAGCTGTGGGGTGTCCTCTCTGTAGTCCCAGCACAGAGCAGTTGGGGGCTGCTGGGTGTGACTGCAGTGTGGCACTTCCTGGGGTCACCGGCGTGTCTGTCTACCCCCTACCCCATCTCTCTATTGTGTCACGTGTGGGCAGGGTCCATCTTGCCCAGGGAGCTGCTCTCCATGGGACTCTCCAGGTCTGCCAGCTGGCTGGCAGCTGCGGAAAGCATCTCCCGTCATCCCCAAGTCTCCTCCTCAGCAGGGGATGCTGCAACATGCCCACCCTCCAGCAGCAGCAATAGGG